GTATCAGAAGTTCACATAAAGATTCATAAAGCAAATTTTGTAAATTTGAGCATAGTAATGAAAGATTGTACATCATTTTCGATATTTCTTACATATAAATATCAAAAATGAATTGAACATAACTTTCCAAGGGACTATTAAAGTTGCTCTTTATTTTCAACACAACTGAGTTCGTATTAATACGTGTAGTAGCCAATAATGCATTGCGACTCATTCAACAATCTGTAAAGTAAACAGATAGCCAATTTTAATTAACATGCAAATATATGCTGACGTCAGACATCTAGTGGTATCAACCTGTTAAACAACCCTACTAATGTTATTGTGATTTAAATTCAAGACACGTGGTTGAGGTTGAATCAATTCAAAGGTTATAAGGTTGAACCTGTTTTAAAATAAAATTGGCAATAAAAAGGAAATTGTTATAGTCTTTTTTAAGTACATGTACCATGAAAAACGTATTTCCAGACTTTCCTGAAAAATTGTCATGATATCAAGAAGGAAAGGGGAGGGGTGTTAAAATCACAATCTACTTAAACTTCGCTTCTGTGATAATTTTCGCAAAGATTGGGGCTAAGTAGCAACCATTTTTCCAAAATCGTCAAAAACGCTAAACAGTAGAAAAAAGTGTAATATCTACTACGATGACAAATCTTCAATTCGTTTACCTTATATGGTTTTTGTTATTATTGCGCACAGTGGATCTGTCCAATCGTTGAATGAATAGCAAAGTTTACTGGTCAACTACATGTTTACATATTACTTCGAACACGTGGTTCAGTTCAATCTACGATGCAATATTAAATGGGCTGTGAAAAAAAAATTGAAAAAAAAAATGTTTTTTATGAAAAAAATACAAAGATTAGAAACTAAAAAAGATGTCATGGGCGTTTGTAATTTGTTGTTACGTTGTTTACTAGAAAAATATACATAATATAAGGTAGTCTGTGCCAGTTCAGAATGTTTTGCATGAATCTTAGGCATTTAAAGAGCCAACAAAGATTTTTTTTAATATTACAATACCCATGAACACATGTGTCTTTGGTCGAGAATCCACCTGACATTTGTATTCACCGATAGTACAGCAAAGGATGCAAATCAACTCGCAGTATGGCTTTGAGAAACTAGAATTCCACGTTTATTTAACTAATTAACAGTTTGTAAATGAGAGCATGGAAATTATAGATTACAATGTTATATCTATGAAATGCATGAAAAAATAATATTTATTCAGCTTTTCCGATCGATCGCCTGTAGATTGTTTTAAGCATAAAATCTGTAATAATCCATAATGCAATTCAACTCATTCAGCTGATTTGTCGGTTTTAAGTCACTATGGTATTTCGCTTGCATGTAAATTTAATTTAATCTGACGCCCAAAAATTATAGTTCCTATCCAAGTATGTTCGTCAAAAAAGAAATTTTAATACATAACTGCAAAAATAATGTTCTGAAGAATACTTAGTGAAGTTTGAATGAATTCTAGATAGATTAAAGTACTGGTATATTTCTACTGATATTATACAGTGGGGAAAACTGAAACGTGGCATAACTTTTCTGTTAACCATGTCCCCACGTGCTAGTCTCTTCTTAGCAACATTTACGTGAATAATGTACCTTATCTGTTAGCAGTCTCACTGTAGTCTCACTAAATCTCGCAAGAGCTATTGCGAACTCCTTGGGTATTATAATTTGCAGAAACTGAAAAATATATGGTTCCGAAAACACACATGTAAGTAGGGGTTTAAACATACAAGATGAAAGTATCATGAAACGTGATTTTAAAAAAGGGTATTAAAAGCATACTTTGAATGTTGTTACTTTTCTTTAACAAAACAAACATGAAAGATCACACTTTTTTGCTAAATCCTATTTAATCACGTAATCAAAGATCAGCAATACAAAGGCGATGTAGAATTGCAATTTCGCTCAAAGAACACAACCGCCTTAAAGGAAATGCTACATCAACCAAAATAGCTCTATTAACATCTTACCGTCACAGTAGCTCAGTCGGTAGAGCGCTTGATCCGTGATCGGAAGGTCGTGTATTCGAATCATGGCCGCGACTGAAACAAAAATTCCTTTTTATGGGTTTTATGAATTGTTTTTTCACAAATTCATACCAATTTGAAAGCCTTTGTTGTTTCATGGGGGGGGGGGGGATATGTTTACAGACAAAAAAAAACCTGGAAAAATGGTAATTTTATTAAAAATTTTAAAATGAGACTACATATAAAATAAGGTTGTTTTTTTTTTTTTGTTTTTTTTTTTTGTTTTTTTTGAAAATGTAACAATTTTTAAAGCCTGATTTCAATGGATAAAATTTTCACCCCCCCCCCTTTGAAAAGAGTCGTAAATAAGAGATATTAAGTTTATGACACTGGATTTAAAATTATTAATCAATTAAGAATGAACTCTTCTTTGCATTCAATCAAGTTTTAATGGCCAAACTACCATTCATATTGAATTACATGGGTGTTAAATATAGGCGGGAATCGAGAGTTAGCGTGCGTGGTTCTTAATAATTGTCCGTGACAAAAACACTTATGAAACCGAAACATACAGGGCAAAAAAAATTACAACTTTGAAAGTTTTCAATAACTTTTTTTTTCAAATTTCTTGTTTACTCCCTTTAGACCACTTGAATCTATTTTTTTTTTAATTTCATTTAAATCCTTAATTGGCTTGCGGAAAAATAATTTCCATGCCATTCATGATGACTGTGCAGGATGGTTTCTGTATCCATGACCTTTCTGCATTACCTTTAGGCATTACTTTTACTATCTCATATTATAAGCCTTTATGAAACCTTTCAAGAATTCCCCGAGTTTTTCCAAGTAGATTTTTTAAATGATTGAAAAGAAAATAACTTTAAAAATATAACAATTAAAATCTAATGAAGTTATATTAGTAATGCTAAAATCCAACTGTATAAAGAAAACGAGAATTTCACAGACATTTTTTTTTTCTAACTGTCAAAATGTCATGAAAAATCTGGAAGAAAGGAAAGTATTTAGTATGATGAAAAATGTTCCAACTTTCAAGTGCACTCTGTGTGTGACTCTGTGGTGACGTAAATATAGTTAATAATGAGGACCTTAAATCATTGATTTTAAAAGGGCCACAATTTAATTGAACTTTATTGTCTTTTTAAGTGGAGTTGAAGAGTTCCAATACTTAAAGGAACTGTGTGCTACATTTTATAATGTCTATATCTGCTATTGCACACTTCTAAAACAAGTCTGCATAAACAAACACCTAGAATATATGTTTAGTAATTTTTGTATATATTCTTTTTAATTATACAAAAAATTTCATCAATTGATATCTTTTCGAAACCCCTGGTAATGCATGCTGATTTTTCGTCTACGAACATCTAATGGCATTATAATCTTAAATTAAGGATATCTTGAAAAATTATCAGTAGGTAAGGTACGTTGCGTATGTCCTTAAATTGTTTTTTTTTTTTTAGAGAAACTGAGATTTGGTTCGACAAGTGGTGATGTGCTTTCTGGGGGGAAATTCTTCAAAATCATAGGTTAGTTTTTAATATTTTTAATATTACCAGCGGCCGGCATGGGTTTGAGTTGCCGTGTCTGTGTTGGATTCCGAGACATCATAAAAGACCTTACAACAAAGATACATAGCAGGTTCCAGTAAATGTTCTACCAAGCCTCTTTCTTTACTCCTCACTAAAATATTAACAGTATTGAAGAAAGCACTTCAGGATTCCTTTGCAGCAATATATTCGAGAAGTAGTGTGGGTCAAATGTGGATACTTAAAAATTCCAAGGTACTGTTGGAAAATTTGAGATCACAAAATTTTACCCAAATCGGCAATATGAAAACTTACACCTTTTCAACTTTATGCACAAACATTTCCGACGGTGGATTGGAGTCCAGGCTTTTTGATGTCATTGATAGCTGCTTTTTTGGTGCAGGTGGAGCTGGTAGGTTTGCTTATCTTGTCATTGGTCGTTTGCTGAATTATTTTGTTAAAAACATTCTGGTTGTACACAAAGGTACTCTGGTGTTGATATTGGAAAGATGCTTGAGTTTCTGATTGACAATATCTTTTTGGTTTTTGGAGACCAGGTCTTCCAACAATCTATTGGAATCCCCATGGGTACCAGTTGCACCCCGTTATTAGCAGACCTATTTTTGTATTCATATGAAGCAGAATTTGTTCAAAATCTTGTACGTAAAAGAAGAGAGCACTTGCTTTGGCCTTCAACTCGACATTTAGATATATCGATGAGGTACTGTCAATTAAAAATTGATATTTCCATTCGTATGTCGATACGATATATGCCAGTGAACCTGGAATAAAAGATACCACAGATTCTGACACATCTGTTTTATATTTAGATATTTTACTAGAAAAAGACGTCAATGGTAATCTAACAACCAAACTTTTTGATAAAAGTGATGACTTTAACTTTTCAATCGTCAATTTCCCTTACCTATGCAGCAATATACCTTCATCACCTGCATGTGGGGTTTATATCTCTCAGTTGATTCGATACGCAAGACCATGCTCTACGTAAGAACAATTTTTAAAACGAGATAAGTTATTGACAAACAAGTTGATGAAACAAGAATATCAGCAGTCTCGTTTAAAGACGTCATTTCGTAAGCTCTATGGTTGATACAATGACCTTGTCAGCAAATACAATTTATCATTAAGTCAAATGCTGACTGACCTATTCCATACTACATGTAATTGTTAGGCCATTATTTACACACTGAATTGTCGACGGATTTTCCCTCATTACCCGATCATGAGAAGGAGCACACGGTGGGTGTGACCGGTCGGCAGGGGATCCTCAACCCTCCATGGCACCTGATCCCACCTCTGATGTTTTAGAGGTCCGTGTTTGCTCTGCTCCAGAATTTGTAATGTTTAATGGACTTTTGAGCTTGAATACTGCTCGTTATCTCCATACATTTCATTGAGATAAGTGCAGTATTGGACTTGTGTTAAAAAAATTGACACTATCAACATAATCTACAATTTTATTTGGATCACAATGTGTATATCTGCGCTTATTTCAATATCCCTTGAAATAATGATAATAATAAAAAATCAGAACTAATCATTCACAATAAAAAAGTTGCATTAATTACAATAAAAAAAACTTAATATAAAACCTTCAACACTCTGAAAATATTCGTAAAATTATTGGGTACTACATTTATTATTCAAAAAACTGAATATCAGATACACACAAATGAATAGAAATTGAAATAAAGCGACAAATATAAGTTTTAAGTATCAAATTTGTTTCATGAATTTATCATCAGTTCCAATTTGTTTAGGGCCTAAAACAATCCCCTTCTCAGTTTTTCTATTAAAAAAAACTTGAAGTATGTGAACAATTATGTAGTATTTGCATTTAAAACTATCAGCAGAAGATATAAATTATGCAGATTCGTGTTCCATATTTTCTGGTTGATCAAAACCGTATTCTCTTTTAACAAATCCGGAAAAGCCATGACTTCCTGATATACGATCAAATGACCTTTTATTGAAACTAGAAAGTCCAGTAGGGCCATTTATGGTGTCGGATCGCCTTTTGTTGAAACCCTGAAGTCCTCTTGCTCCACCGATTGAATCGAAACTTTTCTTGTTGAATCCCATTAAACCTCTGGATCCGCCGATTGAATCGAAATTTTTCTTGTTAAAACCTTGCAAACCCCTTGATCCACCGATTGAATCAAAACTTTTCTTGTTGAAACCCTGCAAACCCCTTGATCCACCGATTGAATCGAAACTTTTCTTGTTGAATCCCATTAAACCTCTTGATCCACCGATCGAATCAAAACTTTTCTTGTTGAATCCCATTAAACCTCTTGATCCACTGATTGAATCAAATCTTTTCTTGTTGAAACCCTGCAAACCCCTTGATCCACCTATTGAATCAAAACTTTTCTTGTTGAATCCCATTAAACCTCTTGATCCACTGATTGAATCAAAGCTTTTCTTGTTGAAACCATGTAAACCTCTGGATCCACCGATTGAATCAAAACTTTTCTTATTAAATCCCTTTAGACCTCTTGATCCACCGATAGAGTCAAAGTTCTTTTTGTTGAATCCCATAAGTCCTCTTGACCCGCCAATAGAGTCAAAGTTCTTCTTATTGAATCCCTTCATTCCTCTTGATCCACCAATGGAATCATAATTTTTCTTGTTAAATCCCATAAAACCACGTGACCCACCTATTGAATCATAATTTTTCTTTGTGTTTTCTTTCAGTTGTCGTATTCCACTTTGTTCGTTCTTTTTATTAAATCCTGACATGCCTCTAATGCCACCAATAGAATCAAACCTTTTTTCTTCGAACACCCCCGGACTGTTACTCTGTTCTGCTTGCCTAACTTCATCTGTCTCTTCACTGTCTTTGTCCGACTGCTCACTTTCTGAAGATGGTGGAGGATGCTGCAAAATCAATCCCCTTTTGTTCATTAGTTGAGATCATCTATTTCCAATCAAATAATTTTTAGTTTTTTTTACTTACGGACTACGGCCATTAAGTTTACAAGAGGCCGGTGGGTGACTATCCTTCCAACAACTCAGATTAAATTGATGAACACAAATCCTTTTGACTAGGTTTTCAAATAGAATTTGTACTTTTGAGAAAAAGTATATTCCTGTGTACAATTATGACACACCGGATGTAATCTTTGATTAAAATTGAATCAACACTACTTCCTTATTAATTTGGCTACTTATTTACTATCGTTTGTGAGAAGAAGATTGTTCAATACCTGTCCTATAAATTCTTTTATAAAATTTGCTACATAGCTAGATTTTTTAAATATAATTTTATTAATTTTCATATGTCCATCATTATTTGCTTTCACTTTGATTTTCTTCCATTATTACAATGATGTTGCTACTCAATATTCTTATCAAAAATATAAAGATGAACATTGAACTACCGTACTGAATTACTAAATAACTGAATTTCCCAATAAAGATGCTAAGAGGGAATTTGATTTACTCTTACAAGTAATTTTTACAATAAAATAATTAAAGAAGTAGTCTTAGACATGTTGTAAATAATATGGATACTGTAGTAACAGACATTTTACAGAGTCTGGATTTTGTCACATACCTGCGTAGACGCGTAATTTAACAGAAGAACGACCACTAGAAAGATTACTTCGTGAGTAGACATTTTGATGTTCATCTTCAGCTATATCCTGTAAGTAGAGTAATAAAGTCAGGTAATTTAATTCTATATATACAACTTTCATTTATACAACAGAGTCTTAATTAAAAATTAATCCCTTCTATGAGCACCATGAGAGAATGTGTTAATTATCTCTTCTGTCCCTCCGGGAACACGTTAAAATAGATAAGGTGTTTAGGAGGAAGAAGAATCTTTAATTTATGAAGTCTGTAATGTTGCAGGGATGAAGAAACAGTTTCATTTATTTTATTATCAGGATATCAATTTAAAAAAGAGGTTGTTAAACTAACAATTTTTGTCTCTATCCTTTTCAATTCTAAACTTTCTCCTTAAAAACAATAAATATATTTTGTCTATATATAGATCGATATATTTCACACCAAATTTTTTTCTCTAGCTTATTTTCTTTCTAAAAATGATTTTATGATTTTTCAAAAAGCCATCCTTTTTTCTAGAGATATCACCTTTCCTGCCATATCACATTCAGTTATTATTTTAGATATCAAATATTTGTATTGGGTATTTTTTGTATCATGCAAAACAAGCTAATATGATTATTTGTACCTCTTCTTTTTAGATATTTCCCGTATAGGTACTTATAACATCAATTAAGATATATTCTTTGATCTGTATTTTAGTCTTTCTTTGCAATTGTATAATAAAAGGGGACATGGTGGTTTTGAATAAAAACTAATGATGAAGATTTATTTGAGCTGAAATTTATGTAAAACCTAAAATCTATAAATTTTTGATATTAAGTTTTAATAATTACATTATAATCCTTTGAGAATAAATCACTTTATGTAATATAGTAGGCCAGGAAATGCCCAAGAACTGAAACAGATTTATATGAAATTCGCAAGCTTCAAGTCATTTATCTTACTTTTATTCCTCAAACAATAAAGCTATGCTAGAAAATGAAAAGATCAAATAATGAGACAATAAACAAACTATTTCTAATTTTCAATCTCCCATTTTGGGTTTCAAATTACTTAAATGCTCTTAAATTTAAAGCATTACTATTAAAATTATTTAATTACCAATATGCATACATACATACATATATACATACATACATACATATATACATACATACATATATACATGTATATATATATATATATATATATATAGAGAGAGAGAGAGAGAGAGAGAGAGAGAGAGAGAGAGAGATTGTGATAGCCATTTTAATAATGAAAGCATCATGTCGTCGTAGTGGTAACTTTCAGGGCTCTAAAACATCACAGACAGACCTATAACCAATTAGAATTGTTTTTCCAATTGTACAAAACAACGCTTGATTCCCACATGGCCAAATGTAGGACGCGATACCCCTGACTAAAGGAAAAATGGTAGCCTCCGTGAGTGTCAAGTGATACGTTTTGGTAGGAAAATTGAATACTGCCCATTTTTAGTTTCAGAAATAAATTGTTAATTTAATCATTACCCTGCTTATAATTTTAATATTACTCTAGTTACACATTTTAAAATACATATTTTTTCTATGCATAATGAATTATTTATTAAAACAATTCTCTATTCACGAAAACTTTCATGACGTTAAAACAGTTGAAATGTCAAATTTTCTGTACAAACAATTTTATGGATTGCACGCTCAACTTAAAAATGAATTTTGTACATAATCAAACTGCATATTTCCTATTGCTTTCTAAAATCTGTTCCTAACAAAAGTCTTGGCTCTCTAAATGTCAACTGACTTAACCAATAGAGTAATATACGTTACTAAGTATCCTTCGATAATAATTTGCAAAAACGAAGTCTTTAGGTTCTTACAGAGCAGAACTCTATTATGAGAGAACCGAATTAAATGATATGTCTGGTAATCTCGAAAATTGCCGTAAACTTTTTCTGTGAATATTCCCACGCCTGAATTTGATTCCAGAATACCAATTATTTTTGTCTTGTGATAAAAATGTCGGTTATGGGGCGTTCTTAGTTCTATTACATTTTTTTAATTATTGAAGATAGACAATTTGCTTCATAATTGTACCCAAGGTAATGAGTTAAAGACTGAATATTTATGTGAACAAAAATGGTTTAAAAGTGCAATACCCTTTTTTGAATTCCGAAAGCATTAAAATACCGTTAGAACTATACTTCCAAACTAATGGACATGTAAATGCAACAATGATGTATTAGTTTCTGTACATAAATCATCTGTATTCAATAACCTCTCGGTGTCTTTTTCTGGTTGATCAAAGATGACTCTAATGGAGCGCCTAATAAATCTTCAATTCGATGAAAAGATTTTGTTTAAATTTACAAAGATAACCTCAGCCATTAAGGACGTTGGAATGAATTTTTCCGGGGATTTCGTTCGCTGTTTTGCACAAAGTTAATTGTCATATATACAAGTATCAACTTACCGCCAGTCAATACACAGGTGTATACGCATTCTGGTAACTATAATATTAATAAGCAGGATAATTCATACGTTTTCCAGCTATATTAAGCACATTTATTGATATTATTTCATAATCTTATTAATTGTCTTGTCATGAAAATTCACGTAGGATACTCCATTGGCTTTCCAGCTATATTCAAAAGTACAACATATCATAAACTCATTGTCATGTCATGAAAGTTCACTCTACTTAATCACCTGCATGTTAAATGTAGGTGTATGAAAATTGAAAAAACAAATTAAGAAAATAGGATACTGAAAAACAAATATAGTATTTCTAATTGTAAATTTTACATTGTTAACATAATTATCAAGTTTCAAATATAAATCCATCCTTCTTTCCCTCTTATTAAAATCTAAACTTTCAGATCTATATTGAAATTCAATGGAAAAACATGAAAAAAAAATTGATGTGCAAATAATGTCCTTTTATTACATTTTCAATAGTGAAAAACTGTGATTTATTTATTGAATAAAAGTAATATTCTCTCACAGTGTGAAAGGATACCAAAATGATATTCTATCACAATGTGAAAGGATGTCAAAGTAAGTAAAAAATAATTTCTGGCCTGTCATAAGATACATGTAGAGATAGTAACTAAACCGTCTTGATATAAACTAAAACTGCCAATTTCTGCCCAAATACATGTATTTTGGTAAAATAAACGTTACAATGTTTTCAAACTCACAATTGCTAAGCTTTGACGTCTCAATCGCTTGAAACTATAACGTCACAGCCTGTGACACTGTTTTAAGAAAAGACTGAGGAAAAGGTAAAAATCAAAGAAAACAGAAAATTCAATATTAGTATCTTGCACTTGGATATGGAATTTATTTTACTCGTGAGACAGGATTTTTTAAAAAAAATATTTTCAGTCGTGCTTTGCACTCGTGAAAATATCAAAAAATCAAAAAAATCCTATCCCACTAGTGAAATGAATTCTATATCTAACTACAACACATTGAATATCCTCTGTATAGATTCTTAGGAAAATGAGGTATTTTACGTAATCATGATTAATTTACTTTGTTGAGTGATCACTCAATTGTGAAATCTAGTGTATTCACAGAAAAAAGTCTCTCTTTATATGATGCGCCAAGTATTTAGCTTATATATTTTTATTTATGGATTATAGATTGATGGAAAACTACGTTGTATACTATACACGTGTTGCTGTTTCTGAGGTCAATATGATTATTAAGCCACCTGAGGAGAATAATTTTCAGCTACAGTGCGAGATTAATATTATACTTCAAAGGTAACTAAATCTCAAAAACAATTGTTTTATTATGAATTGTATGGAGATAACAAACAGTATTCAAGCTATAAAGTCGATTAAACAATACACATTTTGGAGCAGAGGAAAACACGGACCTCTAAAACATCAGAGATGGGATCAGGTGCCATGAAGGAGTGAGCATACCCTGCCGAAATTCACACACGCCGTGTGCTCCTTGTCATGATCGATAAATAACGGAAAAACCGTTGACAATTCAGTGTGTAAATAATGGCCTAGCAATAAGTATGAAAAACGTCAGTCAGTATTTGACTTAATCATAAATTGTATTTGCTGACAAGGTCATTATATAGACCATAGAACTTACGAAATGACGACTTTAAACAAGACTGCTGATATTCTTGTTCCATCAACTTGTATGTCAATAGCTTACCTCGTTTTAGAAATTGTTCCTACGTAGAGTATGCTCTTGCGTATCGAATCAGCTGAGAGATATAAACCCCGTATGCAGGTGATAAAGGTATATTGCTCAATAAGTAAGGGAAGTTGATGATTGTAAAGGTAAAGTCATCACGTTTATCATCAAGCTTGGTTGTTAGATTACCATTAATGTCTTTTTCTAGTAAAATATCCAAATATGAAACAGATGTGTCAGACTCTGTGGTATCTTTTGTTTCAAGCTCAGTGGTATATATTACATCCACGTAAGAATGGAAATAACCATTGTTAATTGACAATACGTCATCGATATATCTAAATGTCTAGTTGAAGGCCATAGCAAGTTTTTTTTTCCTTTTCACGTATGGGATTTTGCATGAACGAATTCTGCTTCATATGAATACAAAAATAGGTCTGCTAATAACGAAACACAATTGGTACCCATGGGAATTGCAATAGATTGAAGATACCTGGTCTCCAAATATGATTCAGTGATTATTTATTACAAATCCATCCCATCTTGTGTTATATTTGCTGAAGTCCTAGCCACACGCAATGAGAGAGGATGGATTATTATTCGGGGTGGAGGTATTAGGAAAAAAAGACAACGTACCTGAAAAAAAACTTTGACAAGCCTCCAAAAGAGGAGAATTCTCCAAACTCCAAAATATTATTTCGGGGAGGGGGTTTGGTTTATTAACAGGAGGGACAACCACATTTCAAAGAACATTTTAATATTAAATTGATAAAAAATTACGGGACAGACCCCCTGCACATATACCCCCAACCCCCACCTGAATGTATGAGGCTGTATGTTTGTTCACCTGAGTGGAATTTGGGTGTAAGTGAAATAACTTTCCAGAATTATTTGTATCAAAGTGGAAGTTCTCAATCTATGTTTTAGTCCGA